TGGAAATCCTTGTGATTGCTGTCCCTTTTGAATGGAAGGATTGAGATACTATACCTGCCTCTCCTACTATATATATATATATATATACACAAAAGTCTTTCTTCAGATTTTTAACTCCCTACATGAATTCATGTGGCAAGGTCAGGAGGTGAGGTGGCAAGTCACTTAGCAAATGCCCTCTGGAAATTAGGCTTGAGCGTTCTAGAGCTGGGGCAGAGCCTCAGCTGATGTAAATTGTCATAGTTGCATTTGTAGGTACGACAGTTTACAAGAGAGGAGGTTCTGCCACCTGATTTCACTCACTCTGGCATTTTAAGCATATGAGGTGGTTCAATTTTAAGGAACACGTAAGACTGATATTTGAGGTTTTAACTTTTTAAAGAGATTATATTTTAAAGGGGAAAGAAGCAAAGATCTTTTATTTCTTAAGTTTTAATTTCTAGGTATTTGTTTTCTTTTTTTATCTAGATTTGAGCTTTGTATGGAGAAACTGCATATCTATCGTTATGATTAGTCATCAGATAGCACATTACACAGTTTTTTTTTTAATTTTAATTCTTTGCGTGTGAGTGTAACCCACACATCTCCAGGGTGTGGTGTTCTGTCCACACTAGTGGCACCAAGACCACTTAGAGAGAGACAGAGTTAAATGGGTCTGCTCTACAGACTTAGCTAACAGTCAGTTGGCTTTTTGCTCATGCGGTAGAGACTCATGCACTAAGCTCCAGAGGTCCCAGGTTCAATCCCACCCGCTGATGAGCGGGGTCTGTTGGTGTTACACAAGCACTATTCAGTCTTGGAAGAAACGCTGTGTTTGTTTTGTGGTGATTGTTTTGGGGGAGCTATTGCGAGCAACAGGAGAGTTTGCTCTTTGCCTTAATCACGCTAATCAATTGGGCAAACCATGCAAGGGTGGTTTTTTTTTTTGGCTAAGATTTCTTAAAGGGAATTTGCTACATGCTGTTTTACCACCTGTATTCAAGGACTGGTGGGTTTATATACTGCAAGTAAAACAAGTTGCAATAAGAAAATACTTAACTTCACATCAGTGATTGCTCCTCCAATGGGAAGCCAACTGCCAGGGCCCCAAAATCTGCTACTGGTTGGCATAGGACTGGGGTTCTCAAGCTTTTTGGCAGCATGATGCCACTTTAATGAAGACTTTCCTGCTGGGACCCCAGACAGCATACAAGTTGTGATTTTGAAGAACAGCATGGCATCCTTACACTGCATGCAAGGTCACGGTGTGCAATGTGAGAAGTCACGCTGAATGGAGGATGCCATTTTTCTCTACAAAATGGCTTCCTACACACAGTGTAGGACCCTGTACATATGGTGCATGTGAGGATATGCTGTGTGAAGGATGGCATCCTGCATGCATAGTGATCTCACACTCACTGTACGTGCAAGGTCATGCTGTACATAGCAAAATGGTGCCCTCTGCCCTCTGGTGATGGGGTCACTACCCGCAGTTTGGGAACTGCTGGCATAGGAGCAATGGTATAGAACAAATGGGAATAAATTTAAAATTGCTGTAAAGCATAACTTTAGGGAACAGGTTCTCATTCTGTCTTTGATTCTTTTTATTCATGAAGTGTATATGGCCCTATCTAGTAAAAAACCATTGTCACTATCAGCACTTGAGTTTTTAGCTGTTTTTGAACCCTGCCTTTGAGTTTGTGAAGTACACTGGGACCCTGATTACAATTTAGAGCTCTGGGTGGTATGGCAATATAATACTTTAAAAAAAAAATAAACGAAGACAAAACTAAACCTAAACTGGTTTCAAAGCAAGGTAAGCTGCACCAGTGCAAGTCACTTTCCATGCAAGTGCAGCACATTTACACTAGGGACTTCCATTGGTGCAGTTCCTCTGGTGCAGCTATACTAGTGCAATAACAGTGGTAACAAAGCTCGAGGTGTATCCAAAATATTGGCTATGTGTCCTCGTTGTTTCTAACAATCCATATTCTTTACCTACAATTTTGTGTCTCCTGTCTTCTGATTAAGGTCAGATCACCTGGTTTGGCTATGAAAGCCCTCGTAGCTTCTGGGACTATATCCGAGTAGCTTGCCGTAAGGTTTCACACAATTGCATCTGCAGCATTGAGAATATGGAGAATGTCAGTTCTTCTAGAGCAAAGGTAAGAAATAAAACATCAAGGTGGCTGCAAATTACATAATTTATTGTATGTATATCTTAATCTTTATTTTTGTTCCCAACAGGAAAATATAAATGGTTAAGTTTATCCTGTAAAATACTTCAGTTTTTTTTTTTAATAACTATTTATTTGGGAAGTTTTACAAATCATTGCCATGTAAATAGCAGAAACAGATTGATAATCATTACAACAGTGAGCTTATTTTTTTTGTTTAGAGAAAAATAATGTAGGAATATAAATCTCATCAAATCTTCCTATTTAACAGAGTGTTTATTGTATAACAGTTTGAGCCTGTTCACACCATCCAAAACATATTGTTTCTCATGATTTTATTAAATTGAGTGAAACTACTGACTCTACTCATATTTATCAAATCAGGCATGTCTATCAAATATTAATATTTAAAAAAAAAAACATGCTGATTTTTTTTCTATAGGTTAATGTACTTTGTCTGAGTCCTGAATAAATGGTACCCAAATATCAAAGTATCTTTGTCCTCTTTAATTTTTCAGTAACATCCTCCCATTTATTTTGGAACCATTCTTCTCGTTTTGAGCTATTTTTCTTTTTCCAGTGAAAGGCTATTAGAATATGAGAGATTAATTCTTCATTTCTTTATGACTGTTTCTTCTAGGAAGCCCCACGAGGATTACCAAGGGTAATAAATATACAATAATTGATAATGTTTGGTTATGAAGTGCATCCCAATAATCTCTGGACTTGTCCACTCCATGTGCATAAAATCTCTTCTTTTCACCACAATTTCTCCAACATTTATCCTCATTCAATTTTTATACATAAATAAAATAATTTTCAATCTGACTGTCATATTATTGAAACAGTATTTTAAAGAAATTTTCTTTTATCATGCTACACGCTGAGGTTGCAGGTCCTGTTTCGCAGATCAAAACACATTCTTCTGGGGGTAATTTGTCTGTACAAATCCTTCTTCCTCTGTGCCATGGGGACATTTCTTTGTTGGGAAAGTTGTCTGCAAAGTTTGACAATGTTTTCTCCCCTAATCGACCAGAAGCCAACATTTCTATTAAAGTTAGTTTCTGTATAAAAACCACTCTTCTAGAAAGTGGAGAAAATAATATCTAACTTGAAAGTGCCTTAGGAGAGTGGGCTAGTCTGACACACACTGGTTGGAGCCACTGTGTTATCTCTCTGCCACAGTAAGATTGAGCTTTGTTGGAGATTAGATTGTGTGTGTCAGCTCCCAGCCACCCCAGAGTATCTTCTCAACCAGCAAACTCCTTGAGACTCTACCAATCTTAGCCTTACCTAGCAGGTAACAATCAATGAACTCAGCCACTGAGCACCTTAGAGTTGTCTCTCTTCAATGTACAGACCCTATCACTTTGCATTCACTGAAGATATTTGCTGCTCTTTTAAAGAGTTAGGGCATTACAGATTAGTAACTTAATTGGGGTAATGCACCCTTCCCTTCAAGCACAACACTGAGTTGGTTTGTAGGAAAAATAGAACAAGTTTATTAACAAAAGGATATAGGTTAAGTGATACCAAGTATAAGAAATAAAAACATAAAGGGTTGCAAGCAAACAAAAGTGAAAATACACTTCTAAGACTGAAACCATTAGTGAGTTACAGTCTTTGCCTAAGCAGGTTTATCACCTGTATCAATTCCAGAGACTTGGTTGAATGACCCAACATTCTGTGATTTCAAGAGCTCTGACCCCTTGAATCCCCCAAGTAATGGATAACCTTGGGGTTCTTTCCTTTTTCTTTTTATAGTCCAGTAAACCTTTTGAAATGTATTATTTAAAAAGTAATCCCTAGACCAAGCTTCTCTCTCCTACTGGGGTGCAGGCACCATCCTGTCTTCCCAAAGGTCATTAACTCTCCTTCAAGATGCAGGAAGACTTCCAGGGAGTAGTCTCCATCCCCTGTTGAGTTTAAGATCTTCTGTTTCCCACTCTGTAGGTTGATGGCTTTGTTACCTCTTATGTAAATAGATCTTCATTGTCTCTGTCTGATCTGGCTGGTCAGACAAGGAAATACACATTCCTTTGTATAGGGCAGATTGGGATTTTGCGTTGTTTGCCAAACACATTTTAAGAACCTAATTCTAGCTCATTGGCCAATGCTTAAAAAAAAAAGACATACCTACTAATTCTTCTTCCAATGATGCACACGTCAATTCCCTGTCAGGTATATGTGTGCGCCCAGTGCACTGGAGTCGGAGACTTTTTCCCTTACCTGTTGGGGCAGCGCATGCACCCTGTGCTGCCTGGCGCGGCTGCACAATTGTATAAAGGGAAGAACCACCCCCCAATCTCCCTCATTTCCTTCTTACCACCCATGACTGTTGTTGGAGTCCTCCTGTTCTTCTTTTTGTTGTTGGAGTGTTCTTCCTTGCTCCTGCAAGTTTTTCCTTGTTCGTAATGTTGTGTATATAGTTGATACTCATTTAATATCCGAGGGGTAGCCATGTTAGACTGTATCCACAAAACAATGAGGAATCCAGTGGCACCTTAAAGACTAACAGATTTATTTGGGCAAAACCACTTCTTCAGAAGCATGGAGTGAAACTTACAGATACAAGCATAAATATACTGGCCTATGAAGAGAAGGAAGTTACCTTACAAGTGGAGAACCAGTGATGACCAGGCCAATTCAGTCAGGGTGGATGTGGTCCACTCCCAATAATTGAGGAGGAGGTGTTAATACCAAGAGAGGGAAAATTGTTTTTGTAGTGAGCCAGCCACTCCCAGTCCCTATTCAAGACAAAATTAATGGTGTTAAGTTGGCAAATGAATTGTAGCTCTGCAGTTTCTCTTTGAAATCTGTTTTTGAAGTTTTTGTTGTCGAAGGATGGCTACTTTTCAATCTCCCTGGACGTTCAATACCAGATTGAAGTGTTCTCCTACTGGCTTTTGTATGTTACCAGTCCTGATGTCTGATTTATGTCCATTTATTCTTTTACATAGAAACTGTCTGGTTTGGCCAATGTACATGGCAGAGGGGCATTGCTGGCACATGATGGCATATCACATTAGTAGATGTGCAGGTGAACAAGCCCCTGATGGTGTGGCTGGTGTAGTTGGGTCCTATGATGGTGTCGCTAGAGTAGATATGGGGACGGAGAAGGCAAAGGGGTTTGATACTGGGATTGGTTCCTGGGTTAGTGTTTCTGTGGTGTGGTATGTAGTTGCTGGTGAGTATTTGCTTCAGGTTGGGGGGGCTATCTGTAAGCGAGGATTGGCCTGTGGGGGATCGTTTTCCAGGATAGGTTGTAGATTGTTGATGATGCGCTGGAGAGGTTTTAGCTGGGGGCTCTGTGATGTCCAGTGGTGTTCTGTTATTTTCCTTGTTGTGCCAGTCCTGTAGTAGGTGACTTCTGAGTACCCGTCTCGCTCTGTCAATCTGTTTCCTCACTTCCCCAGGTGTGTATTGTAGTTTTAAGAATGCTTGATAGAGATCTTGTAGATGTTTGTCTCTGTCTGAGTGATTGGAGCAAATGCGGTTGTATCTTAGGGCTTGGTTGTAGAAAATGGATCGTGTGATGTCTTGGATGTAAGCTGGAGGCATGTAGGTAAGTATAGCGGTCAGTAGGTTTTCAGTATAGGATGGTGTTTATATGACCATTACTTATTTGCACAGTAGTGTCCAGGAAGTGAATCTCTTGTGTGGACTGGTCCAGGCTGAGGTTGATGGTGGGTGGAAATTGTTGAAATCCAGGTGGAATTCTTTGAGGGCCTCCTTCCCATGGGTCCATATGATGATGTTATCAATGTAGCGTAAGTAGAGGAGGGGCGCTAGGGGACGAGAGTCGAGGAAGCATTGTTATAAGTCAGCCATAAAAATGTTGGCATACTGTGGGGCTATGCAGGTACCCATAGCAGTGCCACTCACTTGAAGGTATAAGTTGTCCCCAAATCTGAAATGGTTGTGGGTGAGGACAAAGACACAAAACTCAGCCACCAGGTGTGCCATGGCCTCATCAGGGATAATGTTTCTGACAGCGTGTAGTCTATCCTTGTGTGGAATATTGGTGTAAAGAGCTTCTACATCCATGGTGGCCAGGATGGTGTTTTCAGGAAGATCACCAATGCATTGTAGTTTCCTCAGGATGTCGGTGGTGTCTCGAAGATAGCTAGGAGTGCCCGTAGTGTAGGGTCTGAGGAGAGAGTCCAAATAGCCAGATAATCCTGCTGTAAGAGTGCCAATGCTTGAGATGATGCGGCGTCTAGGATTTCCAGGTTTATGGATGTTGGGTAACAGATAGAATATCCCTGGTCAGAGCTCTAGGGGTGTGTCTGTGTAGATTTGTTCCTGTGCTGTAGCAGGGAGTTTCTTGAACAGATGGTGTAGTTTCTTTTAGTACTTCTCAGTGGGATTGGAGGATAGGGCCTGTATAAAGTAGTATTGGAGAGTTGTCTGGCAGCCTCCTGTTTATAATCCCACCTGTTCATGATGACTATAGCACCTCCTTTGTCAGCCCTTTTGATTATAATGTCAGACTTGTTTCTGAGGTTGTGGATGGCGTTGCGTTCTGTACAGCTGAGGTTATGGGGCAAGTGATGCTGTTTGTTCACAATTTCAGCCTGTTCACATCTGCGGAAGCACTCTATGTAGAAGTCCAGTCTGTCATTTCGACTGTCACTCCTACCCAGAGTGTTAAATCAAGCAGGACCATGTGCCGATAGTGCCAGTGTGGCCTCACCAGCATTGGTTTTCCTCTTTGCTGAGCCTCTCGGCTGGGGTTCCTTTGACACTTCCATTGGACCCAGACCTCATATCTCAGGACCATGGTCACTTCTTCAGTCCCAACCAGGAGGCTATTCAGTTGATAGCCTGTGTAGCAATGTGGGACTCACCCCTGCGGCGCCTCCTGCTGGTGTCCTGGGAATTAGCTTGTCCAGCCTCCGGAACGCCCTCTTCAGGCCGGTATCCCGCTGCTGCTTGGCCCCCGTGTCCCTCCCAGACCCAGTGCCCCGTTATCTGGGGTGCTGCCCCTTGGCAATAACCCCTTTCTCTCTGGGTCTCCCATCCCCGGGGAACCCCCCACCCACTATACCCACCTCGCCTCAGTATAAGGCTACTGACAGTCATCGTGTAGCCCCTGCGCCCTGGGGCAGACTGCAGTATCAGCCTACTCATCACCGGCAAGGTTGGGTTTGGACCTGCTGCCTTGGCCTATACCTGGGTTGCCCCCTGCAACCCCCAGTACCCGTTGACCTTCTGCTAGGCTGCAGCCTGGGGCTTTCCAGGCTGGAGCTCCCCAGCTCCTCTGCCTTTCCCCAGCCCTGCTCCACTCAGGTACTCTTCTCAGGTCCCTGCAGTCAGGTCCCTCCCTCTCAGAAGCTAGAGGGAGTCTGCTGAGCTCCTGGCTCCCAGCCTCTTGTATAGGGCCAGCTGAGGCCTGACTGGGTAAGCAGCCGCAGCTGGGCCATGCCCCAATCAGCCTAGTAGCAGCTTCCCCCGCAACAGCCCTCTCCCAGGGCTGTTTTTAAACTCCTCAGGTTAGGAGCGGGTGACTACCCGGCTACAGCCTGGATGTTTCATTGTTAACATCTCAGGAGGAGAGCAGTTTAAAGGAGGTACAAGATGTCCTCTTGAATAGTAGTAAACCTTCTATTCGGTATATTTACCAGGCTAAATGGCAGAGATTCTCCATCTGGTCCCATCAAAAAGGCTCTATTAAAATATATGCTGGATTATCAAATGGTGATTCACTCACTGCCCCCCCCCTCTTTCTGGGGTATAGTTCTTCAAAGTCACAGTGACCCACGCAGTCTTCATTTTCATTATCCCGCCAGTGCCACTTCCCTAGTGGCGAGTAGGTGTACCCGGTCCTGCCCTCTACTCCAGGTTCCAGCCCAGGGACCCTCAAACCAGTAGTTCTGGGCTTTGCTCTCTGTCCTCACTGCTCCTGCCTTGGACTGCTTCCTACTCTTCTGGTATACTCTGGGTATATCAGCTCCAACTTCCTCTTCCCAGGGTGTGACTGCAGCCTTTCCCAGTAGTTGCCCCTGTGTGTTGCCAGCTTCCTGGTTTTATAGGCCCCATCAGTTTGTGCCCAGCTGAACCTCCTGCAATCAAGCTCCTGCTCCCTGGCTCTCCTTCCAGAGGCAGCCTCTGAAGTTAATAGGCCTACCTGGCCACCTTAACCCCTTCCAGACCACCCCATCACATGGACTATTTGTTATACCTGAAATAGCTAGGTCTTGCCTTTAGTTCCATCAGAGTCCACCTACCAGCTATTTCAGCTTTCTACCCTTAATGCGTCTTCCCTTTCAATCCCTGACTACCTTCTCATTTCTCCATCTCTCCGTGAAAGTAGCCACCTCAGTGGCAATCACCTCAGCCAGGACAGTGGATGAATTCCAAGCTCTAGTGTCTGACCCTCTGTACACAGTCCTCTACAAGGATGAGGTAAACTTACCCCCCATCTGAAATTTCTCACCGAAGTGGTGGTCTCTCACTTCCACATCAATCAGACATTATATTTATTAATTTATTTTCCTAAGTCTCATGCTCATAAGGATAAGGAGAGACGCCACACATTAGATTTTAGGAGAGCGCTAGCGTTTTACTTGGAGAGAACTAAACCATTTAGATCCTCGCAATTGTTTGTGGCAGTTGCAGACAGTATGAAGGGCCTTCTGGTCTCTTCTCAGTTTTTAATTTTGTTATGGATCTCCTTTTGTATATGTTTGTGCTATGACATGGCCAATGTAACTCCATCGAGTAGGGTACTGGCTCATTCAACCATATCACATGCGGCCTGTGTGCCTATATTCTGGTTATTTGCAGAGCTGTAACTTGGTCTTCAGTGCATGTAAGATGGCATAATGAGAGGCAAATGTAATAGTATAGTAATGATGCCAGATTTGGGCTTGTTGTCCTTCCATTATTATTCTGGTAGACTCCAATCCCACCTCAAGATTGAACTGTTTGTGAGTTACTTGAAGTGGAATGGACATGTGAAATCAATTGAAGAAAAATAGTTACTAACCTGTTCTATAACTATTTTTCTGCAAGATGTGTTGTACAAAAGCTCCCTGACTTATGCAAGCGTTCCGTTCCAGAACGCCGTGCACAGGGCCGGCTCTAACTTTTTTGCTGCCCTAAGCAGCAAAAAAAAGCCCTGCCACGCCCCTGCCCCCCCCTCCGACGAGCGCCGCGCCGCCGGAGCCCGCCCCCCCCGCCAAGCGCCCCGCCGCCGGAGCCCCTCCCTGAGCGCCCCGTGCCGCGCTGCCGGAGCGCCCCCCCCCCCGCGGAATGCCGCTCCGCGCTGCCGCCCGCCACCCCAAGATTGGCCGCCCCTTACCAGGTGCCGCCCCAAGCATGTGCTTGGTTGCCTGGTGCCTGGAGCTGGCCCTGGCCTTGCATAAGTCAAATTTTGCGTAAGCCGAGGACATCTCTCTGACAATTACGCCAAAAGAAAAAAGCTTACGGAACTTACAGAACTTTTTCCGTAAGTCCGTATTTCCGTAAGTCGGGTTTGCATAACCCGGGGAGCGTCTGTATGTCAATTCCGTAACCCACCCTTCTTTCCCTCTTTATCAGAGTCTATCTGATAATAAAGAACTGAGAGGGGTTGGAGATGGCTCTGCCCTTTATACTATCACACAGCAGCACAAGACAGCAGAGAGCACGTGCACTGCCCCAACGGGTACCATCGAGGGAAAAATCTCCGACATCTGTGTACTTGGCATGCACACACCTGAAGTGGAATGGACATGTGCAACACATCTTGCAAAACAACAGTTACAGAACATGTTAGTAAACATTTTTCCCCTGTGTAATACAAATAGCGGAGAGTTAGCTCTCTTGACTTGCATAGCTGCTTTTGGGCTGGCATAAAAAGCACTAATCCATTTAAGAAGTAGGGGCCAATATCCATATGGGACTAAATATTAAACAGGTAGTTCCTCTATTGTCTAACAAAAAGCTTTCGATACACCAAGTGATAACAAAATAAATGTTGTTTTTATTTGGCACTACGAGTTATTCCAAAGATATATGGATATTGTGTACTATTTGTCTATCTTTAATGAGTGCAGTTTGATCTGGGTTTATATAAACTGAGAGCATGGTCTGCATATGGTTAGTTAGTATTTTTGCTAAAATCTTTATAATAATTCAGCAGTGAAATGGGCCTAGTAAGAGTTGCGTGTATAATTTTAAAAAAATAACTAACAAGATGACTTGCCACATAATTAATTGCCGGTAGATTTGATATAGTTTGGAAGTAGCTTGACCTGATTGGGGTAATCATAACTGTTGCCTAATTAAAACAAACAGATTGTTTGGAATTATTTCTTATCTTTTGAATTAGGACCAACTATCATATAAAAATTTCTTCTTTATTGTAGGAGCATGCCCAGATTTTACTACTGTTTCAGTCAATAGTATCTGGTCTCTCATTCACAAATATTTGGTTTGGAGCATGCCACGTGTTTACTGGTGTTTGATTTGGGTATATTTGACTGGCACCAGTGAAAAAATTTAAATTAGAAAATACTATAGATTGCACTGCCAAATATTTAACAACACAAAGTTTAGCTTTTAAAATTATGTACAGACAGACATCATTTTATAATATAATTCTGTGTAAAATTACTGATTGATAAACAGATTTCAGTAATTGCAAAAATGCAGTTTACAAGGAGTTCCAAAGTAAAGGTATTTTGCAAAACTTATTTACAGAAATAGGTATGGAAAGCTGCCAAAGCTTTCACATCTGTTTTCATTAAATTAGAAATATTTTGTACATCTGAGTCAAAGTTAGCCACTTCTATATTCTTGAAGGAAAGATTGCTACTTCAGAATTCTTATTTGAATACCCCTGTAAAATGTGAGAAATATGTTTTGTATTTTTGTTTTTTTATTCCTGTAGTCAAGTATACATTAAATACCAAATTTATATTTTTAGTAGCAGATTGTGTAGTGGCTTTCCCCCTCCAGCTGTACTGGTCTGATTGTTTTCCAGAGGTTCAAATAAACAGAATGCTTTTTAGTACAGTATGTGATTTAAGTATTTGATATTGTTTCTTCTTCCTTTCAGGGCAGAGCGTGGATCAGAGTGGCACTTATGGAAAAACATTTGTCAGAATATATTTCTGCAGCTCTAAGAGACTTCAAAACAACCAGGTCTTAAAGTCCTTTTATTTGCTTAATGCTAAATTTCAAAATGTTGCTTAGGCAAAAGACCCGGGTTTGGGAATGAACTTGGTACTTGAGCTATATAAGAATAAGCAGTAAATAGCAGAAATGGTGTGTTTAGTTTGTATGAGGGGTATCCGTTGCTGCCTTTGCAGGCTGATCTAGAGGCCTGTATTTGTATGTTAGCATTGGCATAATTGGAAACTTGTATATTCCTCTTTGATAAAAGTTTGGCTCTTTTTTTTAATGAAGATTTTGGGGAGGATCAGTGAGATAGGAAACTAAACTTTGGAAGAGGGGTTGGTGCTTGTTGCCTACATAAAGGTAAAAAATTAAACATTGGTCTGAGGTCTTCCTCTCAAGATAGAGGAAGTGCCTTTAGATTAAAAAGCCCTCAGAAACACAGTGAAAGAAGTTTTAAATTTGTCCCAGTTATTATGGAGAATTTCCCCAGGCATAACTTAAGGGGGAAAGGAAGAGACTTCTGGCAAAGTACTTTAGAAAGGACAGAGGGAAAGGTTAGAATTAATGCACACCAGTGCTGGTTATAGCTATGAAGTACTGCTGTAAAATGTAATAACTTTGGTTATATTTGATAATATACCAATTATGTAGTTCTATTGTCTTAATAAAAGAGAAGGCAATAGTGGCTAGGAAATCTAATATGAGCTTGTAGTATGATAGATATGGTATCAAAATATGTTGCTGCTGTTTTGGGTTGCTCTTGCAGGGGCTTCATGTCATAGATCAGAAGGGTCTCTGTATATAGAGCTGAGACTGCCCCTATAATAATGCGAGTATCAGGCCTCACGATATCAGAGAGACTTAAATAGACTGAAGAATATTCAAAGAACAGCAACAAAATTGAGTAAGGGAAAATAATTTCACTTGCCATATTTTGTTCTTCTGTAACACTTTTTGTCCATGGATCTCAAAGTGCTTTACAAATCTTAAATTGCACCAGCGTCAGGTAGATATTATTCCCATTTTACAGATGAATTAACTCAGCCTTCCAGTCACATGCTCTTTGCTTAAAATTATAAGCATTTATCCAGGTATACTTACACTTGAACTGTGTGAGAAATTCTTAAAGCACTTAGGCTTTTTTTTTTAAAGACATGCTTAACTCTTGTTTTATTAATTTTTCTTCTAAAGAATTTTGTTATAAAAAAAAGTCCTCTTAAGCTGTCACTCTTTGTTCATGTCCAGTAGTTTAACTTGCTAGGTAATAGATAACAGTAATTATGATTAGCTGGCTGTTTCACTAGTTTAGCTTTTAGAAAACAAACCTTTATCACCATTCATTTGGAATGTGAGAAAGTTCCCAATAACCTTGAAATGTATACAGATTCTGTGTTTCAGTAGACCTTTAAAATTAAATTAATGGTTGTTATACATTCAACTTATGAAATTACTTTTAGTAATATTGAACTTTTGGTGCAGGAAGTTTAGATTTCCAGTTACTCAGCACTAAAGCAAAACATTTTGGGGTTCCCAATCCACAAGCAGCAGAGGACTAAACCAATGATTTCCTGTGTGGAGCTATAGAATTAACTGAATTCTCATATAAATTTGTGTATAATTATGTCAATATCAGTTGAATTATCCAGAATTATATTTAGAGATTTATGTCTTTAAGTTTTTATTTTTATATATATATAGAAAGAGAGAGAGATGGCCAAAATTTTCAAACATGAGTTCCTAAAGTTAGGCACCTAAATAAGTTAGGGTTACCATATTTCAGCAAGCAAAAAAGAGGACGGGAGGAGCCCTGCCCTAGCCCCACCCCCGTCCTGCCCTAGCCCCGCCCCTGCTCCTCCCACTTCCCTCCTCAGAACCCCCAACCCTCCCCCTGCTCCTTGTCCCCTGACTGCCCCCTCCTGAGACCCTCCCCCCATCCTAACTGGCCCCCTAGGACCCTACCTGTACCCTGACAGCCCCAACCCTTTTCCACACCCCCACCCCCAGACAGACCCCTGGGACTCCCACGCCCCATCCAACCACTCTCCACCCTGACAGCCCCTTCGCCCCCAGAACTCCTGACCTATCTAAACCCCTCTGCTCCCTGTCCCCTGACTGCTCCGATCCCTCTCCCCACCCCTGCCACCTGACAGCCCCCCCCCAAACTCCCAAACAACCCCCCTGCTCCTTGTCCCCTGACTGCCCCCTCCTAAGACCCCCCCAAATGCCGCCAGGACCCTACCTGTACCCTGACTGCTCAAAACCTTATCCAAACTCCCACCCCCAGCAAGCCCCCCCCCGACCTCCC